AGAACACAGTCCAGAGCTGCAAGCTTCATCCTGGAGAAAGGTCAGTTGTTAGCAATGAGGAACAAGGAAGACATAACAGTATATGTCACCCCGACGACGGCGAGAACTGTGGTCATGTTTTATCGTATAGATCAGTATCCCCTGCGCATGCGTGGCGTAGAGCCCTGGTGACGCGGGCAACAGACGCGCGGGGAGAGGAGGACAGGTTTGGGAAACGTTTGGGTGTGTTTATGGGTACTCGGTTGAGTTTGCTGGCTCGAGTTTGTCTTCTTGGCCACTGCTTTCTGCGGTCGGTTGTCTAATGTAATTACCTAGCATTAGCTTCTATTCTCTCTCTGTCTAATTCCTTCCATTCTCATACTACTGACATGTAAGGGAGTATTTCCTCGCATCCTTCCATGTGCTCTTGATCTAATTGTTATTGAACGTAAACATTGGCTCCTTTTTTTCTCACCTCAAGAGCATTTTCTCTCTCTCTCTCTCTCTCTCTCTCTCTCTCTCTCTCTCTCTCTCTCTCTCTCTCTCTCTCTCTCTCTCTCTCTCTCTCTCTCTCTCTCTCTCTCTCTCTCTCTCTCTCTCTCTCTCTCTCTCTCTCTCTCTCTCTCTATATATATATATATATATATATATATATATATATATATATCTGTCTCTTAACTGTGTCAACTCTCTATGTCTCTCTCTCGTCTAGTGTTGAGAGGTTCAGAGTCACCGTCTCTCACACCCCATCCTCCGAGGCTCCGTGACGAGCCTCGTTGCAAGTTTTCCTCGGGGCTTCGCGAGACACTTACTTCACGCTGGCGCTGCGTATTCTAGCACTTGTCTCACGTAGGTAGTATGCAGTGATTTTGAGTGCCTCAATCAAGGTTCTTGAAGACCATCCTGATGTTTGCTACTTTGTGTATGTGTTCTTCTTGAGTCACAGTTGATGGTATGTATACTCCAAGAGTTATGTCTACCCCAAGATCTTCTTTAGCTGATTTTGGGAGGTGATATTCCTTCAGTGTGTACTGGTTTGTTGGTGTCCAGTGAGGTGGTCTCCGTGTTATGACCAGGCTGGGGTTACAGTCCTCCAGCCTTTCTCAGATTAACTCTGCTCTTATCTAGGACTTTCCGCAGTATCCTGTAGTGCTGTAGTCCAGCTATTTTTGTATAGTTACCAAATACTGCAGCTCGTCCTCCTGTTTTGGTAGTACTTATAGTAACGATGAGGACCGTAGTACATAGACCGACGTACAACGATATTAGAAAGTAGACATCTGAACTACTGAGTTGGACAAACCGGAAAACTATTTTTACTTGTGTTGCTTTGACAAACTAAACTAACCTAACCTAACCTTCCCAGGCCATCCATTTATTTTATAATTATTCCTTATTAGTCAGTATAGTACTATCTGAAAGCTAAGAACGTACGAATTCGTGACTATTGACGACCGTCACAAAAGGTACTGTCTACACAGGAGGACGGGTTGCCGTATTGACACGTGGGACATTACTCCTCTCATTAGATTACTCTGTCATTCGATTTACCCCTATGGCATGACTTGGTGATAGATCAGGTCCCTATGGCATGACTTGTGATAGATCAGGTCCCTATGGCATGACTTGGTGATAGATCAGGTCCCTATGGCATGACTTGTGATAGATCAGGTCCCTATGGCATGACTTGTGATAGATCAGGTCCCTATGGCATGACTTGTGATAGATCAGGTCCCTATGGCATGACTTGGTGATAGATCAGGTCCCTATGGCATGACTTGTGATAGATCAGGTCCCTATGGCATGACTTCCTGATAGATCAGGTCCCTATGGCATGACTTGCTGATAGATCTGGTCCCTATGGCATGACTTGCTGATAGATCAGGTCCCTATGGCATGACTTGGTGATAGATCAGGTCCCTATGGCATGACTTGGTGATAGATCAGGTCCCTATGGCATGACTTGCTGATAGATCAGGTCCCTATGGCATGACTTGCTGATAGATCAGGTCCCTATGGCATGACTTGCTGATAGATCAGGTCCCTATGGCATGACTTGCTGATAGATCAGGTCCCTATGGCATGACTTCCTGATAGATCAGGTCCCTATGGCATGACTTGCTGATAGATCAGGTCCCTATGGCATGACTTGGTGATAGATCAGGTCCCTATGGCATGACTTGTGATAGATCAGGTCCCTATGGCATGACTTGGTGATAGATCAGGTCCCTATGGCATGACTTGTGATAGATCAGGTCCCTATGGCATGACTTGGTGATAGATCAGGTCCCTATGGCATGACTTGTGATAGATCAGGTCCCTATGGCATGACTTGGTGATAGATCAGGTCCCTATGGCATGACTTGTGATAGATCAGGTCCCTATGGCATGACTTGGTTCTAGAAGAGAGGCTGGAAAGGACTCGTTTATTACGCTTCTCCATGCCAGTTTATCCTCTCTCTCTCTCTCTCTCTCTCTCTCTCTCCGGGACTCTGCCTCCTCCCTGTTTGGTACTCTTTCATCCGGTTCTGGGCTCTGTTGGTAAACTCTCTATGCTCGTCTAGATGTGGTTTTCTAACCGATAGATTTTTGTTATATCTTTCTAACCGATATATATTTTTTGCTCAATTAAGTCTGCTGCATATATTTCTCTCTATATATATATTTTTCTCTGACACAC